ATGATCTTGATACTATTTATTAATATTATTTTTTGAATATTCCGTCAAATATATTTATTTTTTCTAATAAAATATTAGATTAAACACCAAGTTTTTATTATGTAACTCAATACTTACAAAGATGATGGCCTTGATGGTATCCCTAGAAATGGAGTCTCGACCATCTTCAGTTCTACTAATTCTCAGCAGAGCATCCACAATATCTTCCCCGCCGTATTCGCCGCCCTGCCGGAGTGTATGCTCATCAACGATATCATTGAGGATGGAATCGAGCTTCCGGTGCATCCATATCAGCCTATACTTATTCAAGCACAGCAAATTCAGCAACTTCGATGATGGAAATAGGTCGGCGAGCTCAAATCCGCCGGCCATCGACATCCCCTTCTTCATCATTTCAATCAAAGAGTCGCGATTGACCGTCTGATCCTTCCCGAGCGCCGTCCGACAAATGACGGAGCTTGAAAATCGGAGAAGAGTCTCCGTCAGATTGATAGCCTCTCGCGACAGCGCAAAGGATTGGACGGTCGAGATCAAACGTGAAGTTTCGTCTTCCCTAATGTAGCTGAAAAATAGAAAAGATCATTCATCATAAATCAGCATCTAACTTCACATATATGACAATTTTTCGAAAAATTCACAACTAAATTTATCAACTTGACCCAAAAGTGGTCTTTTCTAATGTATCTTTAAAAAAATTAAAAAAAAAATTATTGATCATAAGTCGATATCTAACTCAACATTTAAAAGAAATAATAACAATTCAAAATCAAATTAGTGAATTTAACAAAATCATAATAAGTAGAATGACTGCAGTCTGCAATAGTACCCAAAGGATTTAACGTTTTTTGAACTCAGAAGTTCGAGAACACAGATTTTCCGCAGTTGTCGCCACTGGTCGTTGTAAGGGCAGAAGGCGAGATCGGAATAATTGTACCACATGATCTCGAACCCGATGGTTTTGGGCCTGTCTGCGCACGCGGGGTCCTGGTCCTTGAGGACCTGCTTGGCGGCCGCCGGCGAGGTAATCACCACCGCCGGGATCTCTCCGAGTTGCAGAAGCAGGACGCGGCCGTACTTGCGGGATACTCTGGCGAGGACCTGGTGCGGCAGGCCGCCGAGGAGGTGGTGCAGGTGGCCGATCACCGGCAGCTTTGGAGGGCTCGGAGGTAGATTCTGGGGGTTCCGGCGGCGGCGCCATGGATTGAAGATTCGGATTAGGAAGAAGATGATGAGAGGTGAAAGGATGAGGAGAGTGGGGTAGTTGAGAGTGATCGGCTCTGTCGCCATGAAAGGATGAACTTAATGTTGGGGAGGTTTTGAAAGATCGAATCTGAGTATTGATTGCTGTGCATAATATTGCACATATATTATTAAGTGGGAACAGTCAGAAGATGCCAACAGTTATTATTACTATTTTTAAAGTGATTTCAAATGGACAGGTTAACAACTCTACTTTAATCGCCATGGATAAACTTTGATCGAATTTAATACCTTGCGAACTATGTCCGACAAGATATATCATATTAATCGAACTAGATATATCATATTAATCGAACTATGTGCGACAGGTAAACCGGATAATCACAAATTCACTAATAATTTATTATTACTCCATTATTTAACATATATATTGTCGACTTTGTATTATTGCATAAATAGATTTTGGGAAAAAAATAATTTTTGTTCCAATATAACCAAAATTTATCAATTTTAGTCCAATATAAAAATCTTATCAATTTTGGTCTCAATATAATAAAAACTCGATCATTTTTTGTCCCAATATAAAATTTTTATCAATTTTAGTCTCAATATAAACAAAACTCATCATTTTTTGTCTCAATATAATATTTTTATCAATTTTTAATTCCAATATAACCAAAATTCATCATTTTTTGTCCCAATATAATCAAATCTTATCTTTTTTTGTCCCACCGTCGACAAACTGACGGAAAATGCTGACGTAAAAAAAAAAAATCAAATCTTATATTTATATTTGAAGAAATTACACAATCTTGCAAGTTCACGTCAGTATTTTTCGTTGATTTGTTGACGATGGAATAAAAAAAGATAAAGTTTGATTATATTACAACAAAAAATGATGGGTTTTGGTTATATTGGGACTAAAATTGATAAAAAAATTATATTTGGACAAAAAATGATGAGTTTTGGTTATATTGGAACCAAAAATATGAATTTTAGTTATATTGAGACCAAAATTGATAAGATTTTTATATTAAGACCAAAATTGATGAATTTTGGTTATATTTGGACCAAAAATGATTTTTTTCTATAGATTTTTTATATTATTTTTGTCCGACTCTAAGGGTCTCATTTGTTTTTGTGTATTGATATTTGAATATTAATTATTATATAGAAACGCAATACAAATTAAAAAAAATTACAAAAATAATACTTCCGTTAGTAGCTCTCTATATAATAGTAGTTACTAAAATTTGTATAAATTTTTGTGTAAGGTGCATATTTTGTGCTGATTGGAATATTTATTTTACCCAAGCAACATATGTAATAAAGAAAATATACAATATATATATTTACATAGCACAACATATATTGTATCATTATAAAATATATGTTGTATTATAATTAAATATTATAAATATATTATGTTTTGTATAATTGTGTATTTGACTCAATTAATTCGTTGCCAATTTTTTTAATAATATATTTGTTTGTTTGTTAAAATTTTGTTATATTATTATTATTATTATTATTATTATTATTATATTCTAAATTTATATATAATTTATTTATAATAAAAATATTATCTATTTATATTGTTATTATTTTTATTTTAACACATAATAAATATATTTTACTTACTAATTACTTTTTAGCAATATGGGAATGTATATTTTTTTATTATACATGTATCCTCGATTTACTATATATATATATATATTTCACTCTCATTTAAAATAATATTATTTCTATCACACTTTCAAATCAATTTTAATGAAATTTGGTTGTAATTAAAATTTTTAAAAATTATTTAACAAAGGGTTGTTATAATTAAAAACGGTAAAAACCACATATGTATATATATATTTCGATCTATATTTAAAGTATTTAAATTTTATTCATTTTATTCTAAAACATTAATTTTAGTTTTCTATTTTCGTCAATATTAAAACAATACTCTCATTTCTATACATAAACATATTACAATAAAACTTTCATTACTATTTTCATTATTATTACATAAATTTCACCACATTTTACATAACTATACTCACAATGACAAATATAATTTTTTACTCATATTTTTTACCAACTATTAATATATATTCCTTAAATTTAGTGTCGAACCTCAATAATACTATTCTTCTTGGGACGGGAGAGTATTATGTTTACTAATTATACAAAATATAAATAATAATTAAATTAATTGATCTTGAAAATAATATTAAATACATATAAGTGATTGAAAATAGCTTTCCAAACAACTTTAACTTTTAAAATATTTTTAATTTAATACCTGTCCAAAAAGTAACTTAATTTTTTTATAAATTAACATTTTAAAATAACATTTTTAGACCTAAAAATTTCATCTTTAATCAAAATCAAAATACAAAATCAAAAATTTATATAATTTATATATTTATAAAATTAAATATAAATGCACAATTAAAAAGTATATATAATAAATAATAATATTAATCCCGCATTTTCCAATCTTTCCTTCCCACTTTCTTTTATTTTTATTATTATATTATATTTTAAGAAGTGGGGACCACATAAAATAGATATATATATATATATATTAAAAGAAACTACATGGCCGATCAAAATCAATTTGATTCATTTTATATATTCTTTTTATTGATCGAATTAAGAATGTGTGGGACATGATGTTGATGGGGTACATTTTAATTATTATTGCTATTCATTTCATATATTATGTCATATTTTTCGCTTATCTCTGTTCTACATATCATGTTATTATTATTTTTTTTCAAAAAAATTATAAACTTTAATCGTATTTAAAATTTTACAATTTATAATTTTTTAATTATATTAATTAGTTATTTTAATTTTAATTTATAATTATTTTAATTATTTTTACTAATACATATGTTAAATTCTCGTGTCTACAATAATACTGAATATAATTTGTGATTAAATTCATGTTTTATTTTTGTTTTAAATATATGTTAATAATTGTATTATATACGGATGTATATATACTCTTTTTTACTAAGAAAAATATTTTTTTTATTGCCGGATATTTTGAAATTTAAAGTTTCTGCATTATATAAAAAAATTTATATAATGATATGCAAATTGATTTATTTTTATACATGTAATTTACTTTTAAAACAAAAGTCTATGGATAAAATATATATATATATATATATGTGTGGAAAGAATTGGATGGATGAAGGAGCATGAATCGATCAATGAAGAAGCACACAAATCGGACAAAATTTTTAATTTGCCAATAGAACAGTTGACCATGTAAATGACAGTTTGGGACAAAGATGTGGTATAAATCACAACTATTAACAAATAAAGACAACAATTTCACGCTACGAGAGGCAAAAACGTAATTTTATGTTGTCATTCCTACGCTAAGACATATATCGGTATTAACATATATACATACATTATATCATATAAATACGAGTTTGTAGGGATCTGCAACTTGAAAAGTCTATCCTGCCCCTCATTTCGAAAATGACAATTTAGTCCTTACCTATCTTTGTACTGGCTTGAAAAGACGAGATTGTACGGATCTGCCACTTGAAAAGTCTATCCAGTCCCTCATTTCGAAAATGACAATTTAGCCACTTGAGGACATCCCGACCTGAGGACTTCCCGTCCTGACCACTTTCTGTCTTGAGGACCTCCCGACCTGACCACTTTCCGTCTTGAGGACTTCCCGACCTGACCACTTTCCGTCTTGAGGACGTCCCGACCTGACCACTTTCCGTCTTGAGGAAGTCCCGTCCTGACCACTTTCTGTCTTGAGGACTTCCCGACCTGACCACTTCCCGTCTTGAGGAACTCCCGACCTGAGACCGTCCCGACCTAAGGACTTCCCGTCCTGACCACTTTCTGTCTTGAGGACTTCCCGACCTGACCACTTCCCGTCTTGAGGAACTCCCGACCTGAGGCCGTCCCGACCTGAGGACTTCCGGACCTGACCACTTTCTGTCTTGAGGACTTCCCGACCTGACCACTTCCCGTCTTGAGGAACTCCCGACCTGAGGCCGTCCCGACCTGAGGACTTCCGGACCTGACCACTTCCCGTCTTGAGGAACTCCCGACCTGAGGCCGTCCCGACCTTAGGACTTCCGGACCTGACCACTTTCCGTCTTGAGGACTTCCCGACCTGACCACTTCCCGTCTTGAGGAACTCCCGACCTGAGGTCGTCCCGACCTGAGGACTTCCGGACCTGACCACTTTCCGTCTTGAGGATTTCCCGACCTAAGGACTTCCCGTCCTGACCACTTTCTGTCTTGAGGACTTCCCAACCTGAGGACTTCCCGTCCTGACCACTTTCTGTCTTGAGGACTTCCCGACCTGACCACTTCCCGTCTTGAGGAACTCCCGACCTGAGGACTTCCGGACCTGACCACTTTCCGTCTTGAGGACTTCCCGACCTAAGGACTTCCCGTCCTGACAACTTTCTGTCTTGAGGACCTCCCGACCATTGGACTTCCCGTCCTGACCACTTTCTGTCTTGAGGACTTCCCGACCTGACCACTTCCCGTCTTGAGGAACTCCCGACCTGAGGACTTCCGGACCTGACCACTTTCCGTCTTGAGGACTTCCCGACCTAAGGGCTTCCCGTCCTGACCACTTTCCGTCTTGAGGACTTCCCGACCTAAGGACTTCCCGTCCTGACCACTTTCCGTCTTGAGGAAATCCCGACCTGAGGACTTCCCGACCTGACCACTTTCCGTCTTGAGGACCTCCCTACCTGAGGACTTCCCGACCTAAGGACTTCCCGTCCTGACCACTTTCTGTCTTGAGGACCTCCCGACCTGAGGACTTCCCGACCTGACCACTTTCCGTCTTGAGGACCTCCCGACCTGAGCGCAAATTTTTCTACTTTTCTGCCCGACTTCGGGTCCTACCTTCGTTCAAGACCCTGCTACCATTATTTTTATTATTATTATTATTTTTGTACGTAACACCTTAAATTTGATTTTTTAGCGTCTGAGATTAGGAATCTCTAAACACTGTACGGTACATAAAAGGAAATTGATTGGAAAATTAAAATGCTGAAAATTTAAAGTGGTGATCCCCAAATCTGACTTTGCTTTGTTGAAGTTGATTGAAGATGCTTGAAAATAAAAAATCTAAATCCTTAAATATTACTTTCATGGAACTTTTTCACCGGTTGTTAAGATGGTTACAGTCCATTGTGTTGTATCTCTAGCCCTTAGTCGAGGTTGGAAAGTCTTCCAATTACATGTTAATAATGTTTCTGCATGGAGATCTTAATGAGACAGTCTACATGATAGCTCCTGAAGGGTATGCAGATCTGTTTAAGAAAAAAGTCTGTCTTTTGAAGAAATCCCTCTATGGATTGAAACAAGCTCCTCGACAATGGAATGAGAAGCTAAAGACAGCTATGCTAGAGTTTGGTTTTATTCAATCCCTTCATGATTACTCTTTGTTTGTTAGGACTGTAAATGACTTGATCACTGTTTCCTTAGTATATGTTGATGATATTCGTTCAAGACACTGCTACCATTATTATTATTATTATTATTATTATTATTATTTTTGTACGTAACAAGACCTTATGTATTAGTTGATTTGGGTATTAAAACTTGTATGTTGTTATACACGAGATTGTATGGATTTGTCACTTGAAAAGTCTATCATGCCCCTCATTTCGAAAATGACAATTTAGCTCTTACCCTACCTTTGTACTGGCTTGAAAAGATGTTTTCGAACCGTCGCCAGCAACCGCCGTCAACCGCCCAAGACGAAACGTTTTGAAACGTCGTCTGGTCGGTTACATCAACCGCCTCGCCAAACGCCTCCACCAGTTCCAGAACTCAAATAGCCCAATCGACCAATCCAGAGACCAATCGCTAGACCAAAAGACTCCTTGGCCGCACCCACCAAGCAACCTGTCCATCCACCTGCGGACCAGCTGACTTGCCTATCCGACCGCAGACCAGCGGACCTACTTTATCCGACCGCAGACCATCAGGCCTGTCTGTCTGACCGCTAACCATCCGACCAAGGACCAACCGACCAGACCAACCGACCGAGGACCTTCCGACCTGCCTATCCGACCGCTAACCAACCGACCAGACCAACCGACCAAATCAAACGACCTGACCCACCGACCTGAGCACAAATAATTCGATTACATTTTTGTTTTACAGTTTATATTTCAAATAAATAATGTTTCACTACATTACATTATAGAATAGTCGCGCGGTATACCGCGCAAGAGCGTGTTCTAGTATTTATATATATGGAAGCGGCTATTACCATAATATACTCCTTCTATTCCAACTCAAAATATCATCTTTACAGTATTTTTAATTAGAACAATTTTTGATAAATATTATTAAAATAATATAATACACACACTTTAATATATTATAATATATTTTTTTATTAATTTATAAAAATTAATAATTCGATATAAAATATTATTATTTTTATTGCCAACATAGTTCTACATAGCTATCATAAAAAAATACGTCCGTAAAAAACACGGAGTGATTCAATAAATTTTTGTATACCTGAAAAAAAAAATTTAAATTGGTTTGCTCAAAACTTATCCCTTTATCTCCTCTTTGCAGTTCAAATGACTAACGGATCTACTAACTCGCCCGACCAAATCATCCGCATCATCTCCTGTTCGCAAACCTACCGACCACCCGCACTTCTTAAACACCCAACCAAATCATCTCTTCCTGCTCCTCTCGTCATTCCGACCGACAGACCGATCAACTACTTTACACGAGCCAGGTTGTTTCTCCTTCTCGTTCCCTCCATGTTGTATTGTACATCATACCGCAACTACCAGGGTAACAGTAAGATTATATTTCTGAAAAATTCACGAACAAAAGTTGAAAATCGTGTCTGAGGATTGTAATAGCAAGAAAAACATTGATCTAGATTGCTACCTTATTCAATTTTTCCATCATATATTTTCTTATTAGAACCTTGCACTTGTGGACATCAGCCATTTTAAATTCAGTTTCTTCATAAGATATCATGATCTCAAGTAGGAAACGTGTATATCAAGTACAATATAAGGCCTCCTACGTAAATATAAAATGAAAAATACACTTATCCTATGAGAATGCTTTCTTTAAAAAAAATAAAAAATATACAACCCAACAACATAAAAAAAAAAAAAGCCGACTTGGTCGGATAAAAGGAGAAAAAACATAGAGTCGGTCGCCAGGACGATGATCCGACCTCTTCCTCCCAATATAATATAATATCAATATTGCTAGTGACACCAGACATCTGTTCAAATAATAATAATAAAATATTAATGTTACATTCATAACAAACACATGAAATTATTTAAAAATTAAAAGTTATAAAATCAATATAAAATCATCAATATCAAAATAAATAAACAGAAAATAACAAAATACAAATATATAAATATATCATATACTACATTCGTTCGGCTCTAAGGATATCATATACTTTTTTTTTATTGATCTTTGAAAATTAATTATTATATTATACTTTTCTTGAATTTTTTTTTTTTTTTGGTATTATAAAAAAAAATTCATGTAAAGAATTATATATATATTGGAAACTTCTAAATAAATTTTAAAAATTGCATTATATGAATATGAACATATAAAATAAAATAAAATAAATAAACCCTTACGAGAGAGAATCAGATAATAGACCAAGAAGAAATACCCAAAAAAAAAGAAAGTCTGACCAAATTGGTTGGATGTAAGGAGAAGGTCGTTCGGTCGGGTAGTTTTGATATTTTTTTAAAATATAAATATTCAACATTATGAGAAAGAAAGACTGAGGAAAAATAAAAGTGTCTTGACAATGATTCTCTACAATAGAGGATAACGGTCCAATAGGTAGTCGGTTGGAATAGAAAAAAGAGAGAAAGAAATATAATAAATTATATAAATATATATTTTTTATATATGTGCAACCGACCAATTTATAAAAAAAATATTTCCCAATAAGTAGACCGATATAACAACTTCTTCCTTTAAAAAAATCAAACAAATATATATAAACCCATATATATACTTATATGTATATGTTGTGATTGTCATACATTCCCTTCCATAAAATGCCCTTACTTGTACTATTAATAACTTCATAAGTGTGTATTCTAGAAAATCTTGAACCACAGTAACGTTTCGTACCTATTATTAGGTATTACCTAACAATAATGATAACATTCTGACACTCAAGTTCTGAAATATTGTAATATTCTAAACACTTCATAACCCACCACATTCATATATTACACATGCTGATCAATAACATTAACACGTTACCTATCACCTCAATTAAATTAAAAAAACCAAACCAACACGAAACATAGGTACAAAACAATCAAACAAAACTCTAGTATAAAAGAAGCAACTTCTTATTCTTTTCACGGTGCACTCTCTCTGCATAATTATATTTCTTTCAACAAGTACCTATTGAAATATAGATCTCACAAACTTTTCTCTCAATAGACCTTTCACCATTATAACTCCATTCCTAAATGGACGAAAAAACACAACTGACTTTGGTTGTTGATCTTTCAACCAAACTTTCTGAATGAGCAATTCGGGTAATGCTACTCGAATGCTCAAACGAAAGAGTGTCCCCCCGGACAAATACAATGTACAAGAGATTCATATTTGTGGATGAAAATGTTCGATTTACTATGTTTTCAAATTAAGAATACTTTTGTCTTCAAATTCGGATTCGTTTATGTTTTCCACTTGGGAACACCGGGTGGGGGTTACAAATTCATAGGCACGCAAAATAATACATTATATTTTTTCATGCAGGGAACAAAGGTGCAGGCTTGCGCTTTTGAGCCCGATATCGCCAAGTTAGATGAATGTCTTACGTTATTTCACACGTATGATATCTACGGAAATTATCTCAAACCTTTTACCATTAGCCTGCCGAGATACAACTCAGAAGTTCAGCTAATCCTCAACCAGAAGTCAAGTATAAGCCTGTTATTGATAAACCTTTCAACATTCTCCTTGGGAAACCTTTTTTTGTCAAGCTATCAAGTCTACAACCGTTTCTCAAATCAAAAGCTTTCATCGGTAATTTTTTTACCATACAACGATTAATCATATCTAATCATTCTTACTTTTGTGTCGTCTACCACATTTTCAAATGCAAAGGTTACCTAACCTTGATGTAATGGCGTACAAACTTTTCTTCAAACTTAACATAAATTTTACTTTACAAAGACGCCATAGGTATAACAATCGATGTCAACCCCATCAAAACAAGAGGAACAGATAAACTCCAAGAGATCACAATCATTACAGAGGAGTATTTACAATATTTCATTGTACATTTCTTTTTCCACTTCTTTACTTAATTCTAAAATATTGACATTTTCGTTGTCTTTAGGAAAATACCAACGTCATTGACGATTTGGAATGATCTCGTTGAGGCAGAGAGATCAGAGATCGTCTCACTTCTTGTTGAAAGACCGATTATAGCTGTGCTAAATATCAAAGCTTTATCTTTCAAAGGTCGACCCCGGTTACAATATACTTAACGACTACATTTTTGTTTAATTTTTATTTATTTATTTTTTTTTACAATCTATGTAAATAAAGCTTACATCTCCTATATTTCTAAGTTATTTTAGTCCTAATGATTAATAATACAATTCACAATATGTTATGTAGAGCATGCGAGAATAAGCTAGAATTTTTGTTCTACAAACCTTTTTTGGGGTATAAACGGTTACAAATTAATATGTGTTTCAACTCAGGAATCTCCCTGTCAGCCATGTAGATGGCCAACATTCTATTCAATCCTCCTTACCCCGAAACTATGACACTTGAGCAACGGTAAAATACCACAAATTTGAACCCTTTAAAAATTTGTAATGCACAATTTTAAATTTAACAACTTACGTACAGGAAACTGGACGAGAAAAATTATCTTGATGAGCTCGTCCAAATGAAACACCTTGTCACCAACATTCCACAGACATGTTGCCTTTGATTACAGTCGAAGAAATGCGTCAATCACAGGTTTTTTCACAGACCTCTTTCTGAAAAATTATATCTAATACTACTGTGAACTTATTAAATATTAATAAATACATATACAGTTAGTGGATCATAAAACACGAGCTTCCTTTCAAATCTTACTGTAAAAAAATATGAAATTCTCATACACTGCCCGTGCGAAATGCCATACGTCAACAAAAATACTTACAGCACGAACATTCTATTGCTTCAAGTGCTCCTGCGTTCAGACTAGCAAAGAAAGGTACCTAGATGCTTTATAAACCTTTTACTTAGAAAATATAACCAAAAACATCTGATTTTACCTGCCAGATACATGTTAACAGCAACGGTTACTGATGACACCGCTTCCATAAAATGCGTTGGGTACGAGAAAATTGTAAGTATGCTTCTTGGCTGCGAACTGGACCTTCTGAAGGAAAAAAAAGGAAAAGATTATAAAAAAAATTACCATTTAACTATTCACAGAAAAACTCTGTAACACTAATTTTTATACAGGAGATGGCAAGGCTTTGCGAAATACGAAACAACGAAGTCAAGGGGAGCAAATTCATGTTCACGGTCAAGAAAAAAACATCTGCATCCACAAGATTTAACACAGACAGCTACACAATCAACAACATGGAACCATGGATCCCAAGTTACAACAAAAACAAACAATGAATTTTAAATCATCTAATAAATTATATTTCCAATACCAAAATTGTTTTTACTACTCCGAGTTCTTATGCACAAATATAGATCTCACAAACGATTCACCCAATACACCCACTCGAAACACTCCCCAATCTTCAACCCTCACATCATCATTATCACATATTACAACTTCATCGTCAGCGTTTACT